TAATCGTATAACATTATATTGCGAAAATATATATCCTTTTACTTTTTCCAGGAGACAATTTCCGATAAAATTAGCTTTTGCTATGACAATTAATAAATCACAAGGTCAAACATTTGATAGAATCGGTTTAGATCTTCGTAAAGATGTTTTTAATCATGGGCAACTGTATGTTGCTTTTTCGCGAGTTCGTTCTTGGCAAGCATTAAAAGTATATATTGGTAATCAACGAAATAATAGATACGTAAAAAATTATGTATATAAAGAAATGTATATTTAATTTCTTGATTTTTAAATTTGATAATTTATTATGGAAATAACATTTTCCCTTTCAAAAATACAAATATGAAAAAATGCTATTATTATATAATTATATTAAAAAGTTCTGAGCTTCTTTTATTCTATCATGATTATATTGTATCATAATTTTTTTAATTCTTAAAAATATCGTCAGGTTAGGTTAGGTTAGGTTTTTAATTAACCTAATTAATATTAACAATTTAATATTCTTTATTTAAATTATTACCTTAAGAATGAATAATTAATAAAAAAAATCTGTTAAAGCTACTGATCTTCCATTGATAATAAATTATAATATCAAAAGCGAGATACTACATTTTAATATACAATATTAATACTGACTTCTGATTATATTATATTTAATTTATAAAGTAATTATTAATTTTTCAGAATAATATATTTACATATATTACATAATTTATTTTTATTTATTTATTATTTATTTTCAATTATTTTATTATATATTTTTATATAAAATGAACAATGGCGCGCGCGAAGCGCGCGCTTTGTATTGTTCTAGTTTATCCTTATTTTTAATGTTTTCTGGACAAGATATTTCTAAAAAATTAAAATACAATTAAAAAATTTATTATTATAACTTAATTACTCGTATTCATAATTTATGGACAAGACAATATACATATGTGAAATAAAATAGATAATAAGTTCTCACGTTCATCATCTTGGCAGCAAACTAAAACATTATCTTCTTCCACGGACACAAACTTCCCAAAGAAACAATCATGATTGTAAATATTATCCAACGAAAGGATATGTTCCTTGCAATACTTGCAAATATACATTGCTGTATAAAAGTATAAAAATATTATTAATAATTCTATGTAAAACAATATATTGGTATTGTAGCATTCAAATATTCTAGGTAACTTACAATTCTCAAAAAATGTTATAAAAGAAAATATTGTTATTGTATTATATAAACTAATTAGAATTTATTTTCTTAGAACTTATAGTTCTTAAAACAATATTTTCTTTTATAAAATTTTGTGAGAATTGTAAGTTACCTAGAATAATAAGTTTTAAGAAAATAAACCGTCAAACTAAAATGTAACCTTAGCGAACCGGCGAAATGAATATAAATCTTACATGTTTATGATGCAATACCACATGTATAAAATGAAACAGCCCTACAACACCATCCGAAAAATTGGTAGCCATGAACCAGATTCTGTGTTCGACTATGCTTTACAGCTGTGTTAGACCGTGCCGTGGTGTGTCGTTGTTGGAAAGCACGGCATATGACACTGTGTCGATGTGTGTCGTCTAAATGCCTTGATGGAAAGCTCCCAGAGTGGTCTCGGTGTGTGTGACACACGAAATGGCACTTTTCAGTGCCCATTTTTACATGGTTCATACATAGACATTGATCATGTTCGCGCTAAATAAACGGCACTTTTTAGCGCCACTGCAACTGCAATGAAGGATTCACACTGCGTCTGATATCCGATGTACGACGTTCGATTTTCAATAGCAGAGTTCGTTTTCTAGAGATTCTAGCAGAATCTTTAAAAAACGCACTCTTCTGTTGAATATCGGACGTCGTACATTGAATGTCGGATGTAGTATGAATTCTACACAAAATACGTTTTTGGATTATTTTATGTACTTTTACATATTATTTTCTACGCTTAAGTATACCTGTGCCACAGGGAAGAGAGGCGGCAGTCTTCACCTTGTTCCAAAATGACGTCTGATGAAAAGACGGAGATGGATCACTGCTGACGTGTTCAATCTACATGTAAA